GCCTTCCTCAGCAGACACCTGTCTTCCAAACGAAGACAAACAAGATCTTTAAATATTAGCTATCATAACATTGCTTTTCTGGTTTAGGTATATACCCACTTCATACAATTTTAAAATTATACCCCTTGTCTTTCTGAAGGACAGATCAATAATGCACTCTGGAGCCCACAGTCTCAACCACAGTCTGGTGTCAATTAAATTCACTTGCTGTCCTGCTGGGAGCAGCCAGAGAAAGTCTAAATAGCTCACCTGACCATAACTCCAGCTTCTTAATCTTATGTCGTTGATGTTTCCATGGAAAACAATACCAACATCATTCAGGACGTATTCTTCCCTTTCCTTCTCCTCATCGAGATACACAGCATCCCCTGTATTAGTTTGCAGAAAATAAATGTTAACAGAGTCGCTTAGTTTTCATTAAAAAAAAACTTAGCATAGAATACAGTAATATTTGATGAAAAGTATCCCTCTTCCATCAAACAAAGCATTACTTGCTACAACAGAGTACAAGAATAAGGGGGTAGTGACCCCAGTTCTGAATATGATACACAACTTAAAAGCATGTAAGATGCAAAAATACTCACAACTCCTTCCTGTTTTCTCAGGATCTGTAAAGTATGATTAAAATGTCACATCTTATCAAGAATTTTATGATTACTGAGTACCACTAATTTAAAAGTTGGAGTACCATGACACAATTCTGCATCCATACAAACAGATAAAAGAACAATTTCAAACCTATTAATGTTAATGGAAAAGAGCTCAAGTCAAAAGATCTAAAGAAAAATCTCTAGGGCATTAAAAAAAATGGAATACAGTTTTTATATCATAGTAACAGAAGGGTTTGATTGCTTTTTCTGTACATCAAGTTATCGACTGGACTATCCCTCCCCCATGTAGCTTGATTGACCAGCTAATATGAGGAGAAATTCAAATGTCCAAGTGAAAACTGGAAGCAATTGGAAGAGATCCTTATCAACCCAAAAAGGGTATATCCTAGACTGGTCTTACGTCAACAGTATGTGTGTGGACCCTCACCCTGCAAACATGATTCGCATATGTAAATAACCCATTATTAACACTCGTATTGCACAAAATGGCATGAAACTATTCGGACATTCACAGGTAAGCATGAAGCAGGTAGCGATTCTGTGACATTAGAATAGTTACGGATTTCTTTCCTGTGCCAATGCTTGTATTTTGAGACTAAGAGATACAGCTTAACAACTGATAGTATGGGAATTAATTAATTTGAGGAAATCAGTAATGTGGTACCAGATAGCAAATCAAAGGGAAGCAATAACCTCTGATAGTTTGATACAGGCAGGTACAAAACTACCGCTCACTACTGCCATAACGGATTTCTTCAGCATCCCTCTACAACTTACTAGAGAATCATTTCACTTTTAAAAGCATATTGATTTGTTGTATTTTGTTGAAATGCAAGTCAGATTCATACTTCCTTGTACACCTCGTCCTCAAAAGCTTCTTCATTTGTCTGTATAACTGCAATTTGGCTGAAAACAAGCTAAAATCTGAGCCCTCTGAAACAATCAATGGCGAAACTCACACTGGCTTCAGCTAGGTGAAGGGTTTGGCCAGTCTGCACACCTGACCCTGCTGGAAGTTTTGTTTTCTCTGAAGATATATTTATATCTCTATATCTATCCATACAGAAGGGATTATGTATAGATATGTAACATAATGACCTCTACATAGGTGTGCAAGGAATGATAGGGAAGCAGGTGTCAGATGTAAGAAGGCTTTATTGCATTTGAGGACATCAGCACTTGCCAGTATGCTTTTGCCAGGGTTGCTGTACAGGCTCTGCAGACTACGTCCGAATCTGAGCAAATGGAGAAGTTGCAGGTTTTATCGTGTTTTTTTAGCAGTCTGAGACCCGCTCTTGCATTTGGTAGGGTGGTGGTATTCACCCAGCTTCCAAGAACTGCGTCATCAAGAAGTTTCTTTACAGGGTTGTCACTACACGTGACCTAGTCAACCTGCACCCAGGCACAAAGCAGAAGATAACAGGTTTATTATAATCAGAGGCTACTAGGAGAAAAAAGAGCATTAAAACTTCAGTGAATCAAAAAGCTGCAGTCATTTATGCCAGCATCTCTCACACTTACGAAACTGTGTATTACATGACTTTTTTGAGGTCCATCTCCCAGCTCTAAACAAGTTTTGCATCACATCCCACCAAAAATATTGCAGATGTTACAGTTCATCTAGGCTGTTTTCATTAGGCTAGATCTGCCTGATTTGCTGATTGAACAATTATATGCAGTCTCTCTCTGAGCTTTGGATTTTACTAAAGCATGACCATACAAATGGTATAGACAATGCATTTAAAGATGCAGAACTCACACCTTCTTCTGTACGCATTCAGTAGACTATGTGCATATGTCTTCTTGACAGCTGTTGTTTTCTTTGAGGGATTAAAAATATCAGTATTGATCTGATTGGTATCAATTGAGATGCTTATGCTGTTTTGAAACTGCGTGATCTTTGCTAAATCAGATGAAAATTGATTAACTTCTCTGTCAATTATTTTAAAATATTTGTGGGTTTTGGTAAAGTAAAAAGGGCTTCTGTGTTTCACAGAGAAGCCAGCTGCTTTGATTTTTGACAGCTTTCACTACCCTTGAGACTGTTTAGAAGAAAATATGAGGCACTTGTGACTACTTTAATGCTAAGTGTGCTCTACATAGTACAACTCCTAATTATTTTGTGCAAGTGGAGGTTCACATCTGACAAACAGAAGAATTCTACAAAAATCTGCTGGGTTTGTTTGTTTTTTTTCTCTAGCAGTTTACGTTTTTTTTTCACTCATTTCTTTTACCCTGGGAAATTACTAAGACACTAGCAATTCTACAAAGAAGCAAATTCGCCTCTATGCTTCTCTATTTGAAGATGGTTATGGTGAAAATACATTTCACGTGAAGACATTACTGCAGGCGAGGAATCCCACTGAACACAGGCTCCTTGTAAAAGAGATTAGGAGTGCAGAGCAGTCCTTGCAATTTGAGAAGGTGAATGAGCACAAGAGGACCCTACCCAGTATGGGGGGACCCCATTCCCAGCACAGTAACCGCCTGGAGTTGGAGATGCTGTTTCTTCATACAGACAGTGACCGCTGAGCAGAGCGGCACCAGTGGACGGCTGGAGACAGCATACTTGCCCTGAGCACCCAGCCTCCCTTCAACACATTCCTGTGGGAATCCAGCAATGCAAGGCTGGGCCTCGCTTGAACCACAAAACTCCCAGGGCTCTTGCTGGGAAGAGGAGAGTTCTGTAGCAGAGAGCTGCGAGAGTTAAATACAGTTATCTACAAAACCCACTCCAACCAGGACCAAGATCCGTATGCTGCCTTGCAACTGCTAGCGCCTTGCAACTGCTAGCGCTTGCCTACATTCATATAGGAGAAAGATGAAACTGAGTGGATTTTACCCACAGGGAATCTATGATACAAGAGATCAAATTTAAGATTTAGCTATAAATGCAAGAAAATGTCATTGGGCCAAATTTGGATGACTGGTAACACATGAGAGGAGTCCAAAGTCAACCATATGTTACTAATACTCAAACTGTATTAGGACTTTTAAGCAGAAGAAATGAGCAACTGACTCAATAAAGTTGCAATATGTTTAATTGCTTAAATATAATGAACTTTGCAGGAGGCTTAGGTGAATGAAAAGCCCACCTCAGCCAACAGATTCTGCGATTTACTCAGATACACAATGCATTTCCACCTGTGAGAGAGCCATACAAGTCAATGCAAGGTCTTTTCCTGATAAGCACTGTATGTTCTCCAGCAGAAAGTTGCTGGGACTCAGCACCTCCTTGGAAAGAGCTCACAGTATCCAGATCAAAGGAGCCCTTCTCTGCTTTCATGTAGTCTGATACTGCTAAGAGTCAAGTTAAATTCCAAGAAGATAGCCTCAACTACTTGCCATTTGTATCTTCTGCTTCAGAACTGAAGAGGGCTCTGCATGCCCAAAAGCACATCTGTTTTTCCCAATTATGTCAGCTGGCTGAAGAAAGGATGCTGCCTCTCCTCACAGGCTTTACTTTGCTTATCAAGTAATGCAAATTTCACCTGAGTATCTGAAATCTCAATCCACTAGTCTGCTGAATCCCCAGATGTTTGGGGCTGGTGTATATCATTTTGCACAATCAGGCCCTGCATCTTTAAAGTATCCTTGGTGATCAGCCTTAAATGTAGATAAGAGTATTAAGACATATAAAAACATCTGATGATTTTGAAAGCAAAGTACTCTGGTTTGACTAGTAAAGTATTCAAACTTGTTCTGCAACAACAGAAAAAAGCCCTGCATCCCTGACTGGGAAGATATGTCAAAAATGAACTACAATGAGAAAAGGAGTAATAAGAAAGGGCACAAATGCCTCTGTCTTAAAGAAAAGCTCATACTGACACATTGATGTTTCTCCAAAATGATGAGTTGGAAAGCTGCGCTAGACACTGACAGAGCCCATGCTCTGCTCCCTGCTATAACAATCCCCATTCATTCCTGGCATCAGCCTTCTCTTTTTTTAATGAGGTTTTTCACTCAGACTTTTCTGCTTGGTTATTAACCCAGCAAACAAGTCCAGGAGATTTTCAAACTATTGTTTTCTCTGCACTTTAGCTGCCTGAGTTTTTATACCTTTTTGTCATTCCACTGAAAAATCTTTTCCAGCCAGGGGATAAAGCGTGAAGAAACAGCCCTTGGTTTTCTAACATAAGGAAAGAAGGGGAAAAGGCAGATATAGGAGCCAATTAGCCCAAACTACCTAGGAGTAAAAGTAGGAGCAAGAAATGAGAATAAATCCAGATCCAAATTAAATGCAGAAAAAAAATGAAAACTACAATAGCAAGCAAGGGACAGGATCCGAAGTCACATCTGAGACACACCTGAACACACAAGCTGGAGAGAAAAATGTGATCCTTCAGGGGTGACCCCAAGTTGCCTCCCCTGGGCCTGGAAGCACACAGCACATCCTTGTGGCCCAGAGACTCTCTTTTGCTTTCCTGAAGCAGAGCTTTTCTATCAGCCTTGCTGCTGGAGGCAACTGCTCCATATCTTGCTCCCTGTAGGTTTGCTCCCATGCTGTGGTTTTAATTTTGCTGGCTTTTGGCCCCATTCAACTCAGGTGTGAGGGAGGGACAGTGGGCGTAGGGGAGCAAAGCCGCCATGTGCTATGAATAGAGGTAGATCAGTCAGCACATGGGGTGGGTGGGGAAGGAGGTGTGAAGGGATCGATTTTCCTCTTCCCACACCCTCAGTAGCACCTTGAATCAGCCTGTGTGGTCCCAGTCACACCACAGTGGAGTAGCCAAGCTTCCCACATCACATTTTTTCTCCACATTAGGGCTGCATGCAGCCCTAGCTGCTTGTATGCTAGTCAGGAGGCAACCTGAGGCAACCTAAGAAGCTTTTTCTTTGGGGTTTATCCCTTTCCAAAGAGGTGCTACTCTACTGCAGAGTCACCATGCTGGCTAATAAACTGGCTGTTACAATACCCAGGACTAAAGCCAAGGGATGCTTTACCTTGGGGTGGAGAATCACACCTCCCTAGCTGGAGCTGTGACAGGCTGATGATGCCTCCACAAACCTTGAGCAGTTTTGTCTGCTCATCAGTGTGTCATACCTTTGGCAATGATGCCTCTCTTTCTGTTACATGCTCTCCCTCCTCTCCCAGACTAAATTCTTAGCATGCAGCTCTAAGGTACCTACCTCTATGCTGCTTTCAGAAGTATCTCACAATGTTGTGGGGCCTTGGGCCCTGCCCTTCCCTCCTGTTCCTGCTTAACTAACTCCGCTTAACTCAGCGTTAACATATATCTTCCTAAATAATGCATAAGCTAATCATTGCTTTTATTCCCTTGGACCAGGGGCAAGTAATGAATTCGGCACAAATCATTCGCTGTACTGACAGTAGTGCAGCTGAATAATGGACTCTATTAATAACACTAAACTCACTCGTCACTTGGTAGGATGGCCCTTGTTTCGTACAGGATTATTTGATGCAAATACTCTGGTAAAAAATTTGAAAGATGAAGAAAGGGTGGCAGGAGAATATTAAAGTTAGCTGGTGATCTAAATATATAGCAATATGTGTGACTTGGAGCCTTACAACTGTCAGAAGCTGAGACACAGTGCTACAGCCTGTCAGAAGGCTGAGCCAAACCTCTCTGATCCTCCTTGCCCTCTCCTTAAAGCCACACATGGAGTTCATTAGGCAAAATACAATTCTGCCAGCATAAGGGCAGATTATACCTGGGATCCAGGAAGATTTAAGAGAGATAAATTGGTTTTCAATGCACTGGATTATAAAAAAAAGCTCATTTGCAAAGTATTCTGTTCCTCACGCAGGACAGGGTTGCTGTTAATTAGTCACCATGAAAGGGGAAGTTATAAGAGCAAATGTCATGTAGCAGTGTGAAGGCACCATGAGTGATGCCACATCAGGCTGACTCCATCCAACCTGTGCAGGAGCAGCAGCTCCCATTGAATTCCTGGAAGTTTTTGGCTGAAGATGTTCAATCCTAAATGTGGCAATCAGCAACGTAACCCAAAAGAGCATGGGATGCTGCCACATCCTGCCCCACACAGTATCCTGGAGAAAAACATGCCCATATCGACTTGTCAGTTTGAGGCACTCACAGGCAGGCAGGAAGCTCACGCTGACGCCCATTAAAGTCAAAGCAAAGCCTTAGGGTATATTTACAATGAGAAATGGAGCATCACCATGCTGCCCGAGGTGGTAAACACAGGCTTGGCCCCATAAAACTGCAGAACGCAACTACAGCACAGGCACAGGTCTGCAGCACGGAGCCCTTCTCACATAGGGCTATTCCCCAGCCTGAAAGACTTGCCTCTTCGCAGAGTTGCTATATAATTTCCAGACCCAAACTGGCATGTCTCCAACCTCCTTGGCACCAAGTTCCCCTTCCTGGACCACCCCCTCCCAAAACCTGACGAGCCCAGCAGCAGATAGTGAACCTTTGACTCTGATGAGGTACTTACACTGGCACCAGGGATTGAACAGGATGTAAGTGTCAGTTGTTGAGTTTCTCTGTGTCCGGAGAATGCCAAAGGGAGTCCAGACAGCAACGTACAGGCGAAACTTCCCAACGATGCAGGTGGCAGAGGACATGATGGACAGGTGAACAGAGTTGTTCTCCTTGTGGGTAATCTTGGCTCCCCACTCACCAGGTTTCAGCACATCACCTAGTAGGATCGGGATGTAGGTGCCTTTGTTTTGCTGTGGGTAGCGACCTAGAGAGAGAGGTGAAGAGGTTTGCCTTGTTTTGACAGTTTCTTAATTTCCTGGCAGTCCTCTACTCATTTGTCTTACTGTCAATGGAGGTGGAAAGTTTTAGTGACAGAAACCACCTCCCTCCCTCATTGCTTCACACAGTGCCTGGTCACTTGGCAGTACAGCCACATGAATACATGCAACACCTCCCAGCAGGCGGCCTATGCAGACACCCCTACCCATCTTGTTCCAGCAAGTTTCAGTCTCACTGGCTTGGGCACTGCCAGGAGTGTAGCCCTGGCAGCATAATCAGGGTCTGTCCCAGGCTTTCCTTGCTCACCACTGTTCATCCTAGTGCAGCAAGCTGCTGACCAGCTTGCTCCTTGCCTTGGTGTCAGCTACACTGTTGGTACATTTAGTTAAGAGCCCCTTTCTCAGGTCAGATGCACCCACCACCCTAGCACGCAAATGCCCACTGGGGCACGGACATCAGCTTTAGGTTCTTTAGCAGAGCAGAACTTCGTTTTTCTCACTGCACTACTGCACTGACAAGCAGAGACCAAGCGCTCTTTCATGCAAGTCCACACAGATGAAGGAAATACAAGTCAGTCCACTAGCAGACACCCAACGCTCAGTTCCTCCTGAGCATCTACTCGGGGATGGAGTGGGAATCAACTGTGGACATGCAGAGTATAGATGAGCACATCTGGGCTGGATAGCCAAACTTTCTTTGCAAGCAGTGGGTTTCAAAGTATGATATGCTTCCAAAGGACCCAGCATGATAGTCTACCTTATAGTAAGACAAATCAACCCCAGACAAGCCTATTTTACTCTGCCAGCTATAAAAAGCATCTAGACGGATAGGCTACATGTAAACATGTACACTGCCAGGATTCAGTTGTGTAAGGATCCACCCTTTGAGCCTGAGGTAGAGCCAAACTATATCTGGAAGCCAACCAGCAGCGTAGACAGAAAAGACACTCATGAGAAGGCTGAGTTCCTTATCTCATTCTCAAATCTATTCTTTGTTTCATATTTCAGGCTGAAAGCTAGACTCTCTCATTCAAAAATAGGGTAATGAAAAGCAACGATGGCAGAGACACAAACTTCTATATTTTTCATTCCTACGATTTAGGAACTGCAAAATTAAACTCACAAGAGCGTAGATTTTCCAGCTTGCTTATTTTTATACAGCTGATGTAGAGATATCCCAGATCTGAACACTGCTACATTCTGTGAAAGGACATCCCCAGCTTTGAATCTGAAGCTTGCGAGCTGCCACAACATCAGTGTTTCTAGTAAATCTCTGGCTACTCTTCTTTATCCAAGAGATTATTCGATGCTCATGAATTTCCATTTTGCAGATGTTCAGTGCACATAAACAGCCCACTCTGCCCTGTTGGCCAAAGGTTCTGTCCCCCATGAAACCCATTCAGATCAGCAAGGGACACAACAGAAGGGTAAGACCTACAGAAGAAAAAAGGACTAGAATAAGAGAGCAAAATCAATAGAAAACACTAGAAGATAAAGCACTGGACTCTTCAAATATAAGCCATCAAAAGGAATCCAGCGTAGAGAGAAGAGCCTATAAAGGTAACAGAGATGAGTCTTATGCCTGCTAACAATTGTGATCTGAGAGCTGAACATATTCTTGTTCTTTGTAGTGCAACTGGGTATGACCCAGCTTGCCTCTACAGTTGATATTTTGCTTATAGTTTTGACATAATTGCTTTTTTTAAAAAAGCAGTCCACACAAACAAAACAGCAGAGCAAACCAAGTAATTGAACTGACATCCTTGAAAACTGTTAAAAATACCTCCCTTACCTCCTTCAGAAAGGTAGGAGTGCGGAGAGATTACTACTTTAACATGGTTATGTTAAACTGACACTGTTATCTTCACTGGAAGCTGGTGTAGGAGCCTATCAGGGACAGAAGGAACTGTGCTGTGGCAGGGACTTTGCACCACCACGTCTGTGTGCACATGGGGAGGCTGTAGAATTACTCCCCAGTAAATCTGCCTGTAGGAACCACATAGGATCCCAAAGAAGCCATGAGGCCTTTGCAAGACATCCTTATGGAAACCCTGTCACTGGCACTTCATAGCAGAGATGACATTGGCAAAGTCCCAAGCCTCTGGTATTCTCCCTTTTCTGAAGCCCTAACACACAAAACTCCATTTGCCCTTAGAAGCAAAGGTCTCTCTTGCATGCAAAGCCACAAGACACCCTAATACACCTGTTGCTTCACCAGGGAGCACCTGTTGCTGCTGCTGAGAAGCATGCAAAGTCGTTTCAGCCCACAGCCTGTGCATACACCACACAGCTGTTCCCACACAGTGAGACAGAGAGATCACTGCACTATCTTTCTCACCCGTGAGGAGAAGGCGCTCTGGGGTATTGCCTGCATCGCTACAGACATAGCAGAGATGTCAGGGAAGGGATACCCTAGAAGTCAGGATAATTTGCAGATGTTATAAACAGTAAATACAAGAGAACATCATTTGCTTCTCACAGACGAGCAGGGTTCGGTGCTCGTTAATGGCTGCATAAATTCTGAACACATGAGGAAGCCTGGGAGCCCTCAAGAGCACAGTGATCAATTTCCAATGTTTTCTGTGAAGAGAGGAGAGGTTCCCTTACCTTCTGAAACAAAAACTAAAATGCAAAGGGAAGAGCAAGGGAATTGTTACTTCTGACAGGAGCTTGTGGAGCTGAATTGTAATCACACATCCAGACACCTGACAGCACCAGCCACACTAGTCTCATATACACACATCTGTTGTCTTGATACTAGAGCACTATAAAGCTGAGTAACTGGCATTGCATGCTAAGGTTGCTGGCAAAATAATCATTACGTAGGTTCAGTACTATGTTTACCAACATTGTAGGGAAGTCCTCTCAGGACGGCTTGGCCATTTGACTTTTATCTACATCTTGAGCACACATTTCTGGCTGTAGTGGAAAAGTGGGGCCAACTTCGGCTCCTAGTTTCGGTATCTGTAATGTCAGCCCTTTCTCAGAAGAGATAACATGCAGTGGTGATTTCATTCTCTGGGTTAGAGTCTCTAAGGAACAAGATTCAATGTTATCCAAAGACTCATCACCAAAAGCCTGCAAATGCCTGGCAGAGCACTCTGCAGGGTCTCTGATGCTAACCCAACCCACAGAGAGGCAGGAACATGTTTGGGTGCATGTCAGGACCAGGAGCCATGTAGAGAAGATAAACTCTTTTTATGCTGACAGGAGGGCGCTTCTGCCAGCAGCATCAGCTGGCTCAGGATCTCTCCTGCTCCGATTTGCTCCAGGAGTTGGCAGCTGGAATCATGCTCTGCAGCCAGTTCTTTGTGGTTGCCTCACTCCCAAATACTCACGTGTGCTTTGGGTGTAGGAGGCCCTGTCCCTCACAGGAGGACATTTCACAGCCAGTTGCTCTGTGAAAGACAGTCGTTGAGTGACATCACGCTGTTGGGATGTCCCTGTCTGCTCTAACAGCACACAGAAATGGTAATATCCAGCCTGAGAACTCAGAAAGACTGGAGGTTGCTGCACTGTTACCACTAGGCACAGGGTGAATTTTTTACAGGCTCCTCTTGCATCTTAGAAGATATCAGGCACTGAACAGGGTCTTCTGACTGTCTTTTCGAGGCAGGAGAGAATTCACAGTGACCCTCTTTCATGGGCCTCCAACTCTCTGCATTCCAATGCTAAGTACTAAGCTATGATACTGCTAGAAGACATTATTTTTACAGAAACCTCCCTTGTAGAGAAGGTTTAATGGCACAAACATATCTATTTCCCTTGCTGCACAGTGCACAGACCTGCAACGCTTTGATACTTCTTTCTCATCCTATCTTGTTTCCTGCAGCCATCCAAGCTGGGCTCCTAAAACTCCTGCGTATTTCAGTTGCAGCTCAGCTCAGCTCTACACCCCTTGGGGTTTCCAGGCACCAAGGAAAAGAGGAGCAAAATAGCTGCTGTCACTATAAAAGGAGCTCAGGTGTCCCTCAGTGCCTCAACACAAGGCTTTGAAAGTAAAAAAACATAAGTGAAGGTCTACATGGCAAAATGCACCATGACTGAAGCATGCGTGGATGTGGGCATGTATGGGATACCCCCTGCTACGCACACACACCTTACAGGGGCAAAAACCAGAGTGCAGTTTGTTAAAGCTTGCCAAAGTCTATTTACACAGCAGCAAAATAATGAGCCATCTAAAATACAGAAATGTGGCCATACACACATACATTCAAAATGAGTTATTTTTAACATATGCCTTAGCTCCTTAGCATGTCAGCTCAGGGCCCATCAGGCATGGAGGCAAGCTGTGTTTAATTCTGGGTAAAACTGCCACACCAGAGGGGGATTTACAGCAACAAAGGGAGAGCGAGAGATAGGTACAGCAAATCCAGCCAGCAAAACATGAGTGCTCCTCCTCCAGTCACCCAATTCTGCTGCTATTCCTTACAAGTAACTAACAGGGAACAGGGCTTGCTCAGATGATCCTCCTCCCCTGCCCAGTCTCTGGAAGCCCCTGTCTCCATCTAGTTTAGCTTTTCCTTTGATCCCCAGTGGACATACACACTGCTCTATGTGCACGTGTATTAATCAGGTCCTAAATGCCACTGCTGAATTAGTGCCATGCTGTTAGCATAGCCAGCGGAGGGACTGATGGGTGCTCCTGGATAGGCCCTACACAAGTAAGTAGATGTTTTACTTTTGTCAGGGAGGAGGGAAAAGAGATTAGAGATCTAGTGAGCTTCAGAGGACATTTCCTCCCTGATGGAAGTAGGATACCTCAGAAGAGAGGGAGGTGAACAAAGCTATTTCTCAATAGTCTATTTAGGAATCTTCCTTAGAAGATTGTTTTTCAAAGGAGTCAAGGAATCTGTCTCTCTTTGGGACATATATTACACACAGTAAGGTCGAAAATTTTCCTGTTAGGTTCATTCATTTTACCTAGACACACTCTTTTATACAAAGGGTAAAGAATCTATTTCAACGCCAGTCCTGGAAGTATAAT